CCTGCTGTGCCAAGAAGCTGTCTGGACATCTCTCATTCAAGCACTCCCTGGCAGTGCATGATGCAGGCAGTGTGACCTCTGTGAAACTAGACAGGGGCCTCGGTCCTATTCTAAGCATTTGTTCCATAAAAGAACCATGCTTAGAGATGGTATTAACTTGTTTTTGTGGTCACTATGGAAGCTAAAGCTGGAATAGCCACAGAAAGTGAATCCCCCCTGAGGCCTCCTTGAGGTAGTCTCTGTAAACCAGTACCGGGATATGTTACAAGGGTGGTATGAAGAAAGCAGCAGCTGCCACCAGTGCCACTACCCACCACCTTTGCTGTAGCAGTTCAACAGAGAAAGGACTTCATTTTCCTGCCAATTCAATGTCCTTCAGATTTAGTTCTAAATTTAAGAAGAACTAAGTTGATGACTGCCACTCTTTTACTATGGTCTTCTGTACTGGGGGGAGATCACATATGACAATGGACTGCAGGCTCTGAAAGGCAATGTAAGGTGCTCCCTCCTCTTGGTTTATACAGGTGGTATTGTAGACAAAGGCACCCATGTTTCAGACCTGGCCTTACAAGGCCATCCAGTCCCTGGGGAAGGCTTCCATTTCCTTTATGGACTCCATGGTTTGTGCTTGCCTTTGGCTGTTTCCTATAATTTCTCTTTGACAGTTACAGCTGGGTGACTCACAGCCCTGTGCTCTCTGTCCTGGGGTGGTAGTTTCTATCAGTCTGAGGTCCACTACTGGATGAGAAAAGAGAATGGGTGGGGTAGCTGAGTGGTATGTGCATAAGATCACTGTCCCCTGACTTTGGCCTGATGAAGAACCCTCAGAAAAAGAACTAATGCCCCAGCTTGTATTAACATCTCTGCAGTGCTTCCCCTGGGGAACTGGGATCTGCAGCTGTGCAGGTTAGTGCAATGGAACCCCATTGCCAGGAAATACAGAGGGATGAAGAGCACCAGTAGGCTTTGTGCATAGGTCCCCAGAGCCTTTCCATGGGGGTAGAAGGAGAAGGAGGCAAACACCAGTTTCCAACAGAACAATATGGGGGACGTATAATATGGAGAACTTCTAGGACTGCTCTCAGACATCTCTTTCAAAAGCCTTCTTCCAATGGTTTTAATGCAGACTGGGGTGATTTGGCCACGAGATCAACCCATCTTCATAGCAGTGCACAAACTTGAACCTTTCCTCACCTCAGTTATTGCTCTATTTTATAAATAGGGAACTTGAAATACAGACCCAGAGATGGGCACATGAATCTCTAGCTAGTGTTAAAACAGAACTGCAACTTACTCTGGGCCTTTACGCAGTCCACTATCCCACATCAGTTCTAAATATTTCATCCCAAACATAATGGAAATAAGATTTTACTGTTTTAATAAAATAAGATAATCAATTATAAGAGACTTTCTGTTTTGGAGTAACAAACAACTCCATTAATAGTCTTTATTGTGCCTCTGCTGTTATAAGGAACTCTTTTAAAAAAGCCAGACAGATTTTTGTTATAAACCCCCAAATGGAAAACATGTGGAACCAAGCTTTTTAACAGCTTTTCAGTTTTTCGGTTTTCTGAGGAAACTGAAATAAAATGATTTGAGGGCAAATTCAAGCAATTTTTTTCCCTCCAATTATTCGTGTCAGTCAGTAAACTAATAGTTCATCTATTGTCAAATCCCTAATTCATAGTATTTTTCTAACCTGAATTGGAGCCTAGCAAACATGCCCTGATAATGGCTGAATGAATAACCACTGTCATGCTGAAATCCCTGACACTGCCTGCCAAAGCAAATTTGTAATACGGTCTGTTAAGCTGGCTCAGGCTGCACCTCCTTCTTGTCCCCAAATTACTCCCTTACCCTCACTCTGAAATATGTGAAGCTGAAACAAGGTGGGTTATTTTAAGGCATTCAGTTAACTGTAATTATTAATGGTGGAAAGCACAATAAAACCCATCCCAGTGACTTACTTTCCTGGCTGCAATAAGAAGGTGCCTGGGGGGGGGGGTTGCACTGCAGAGTGTGATTAACATGAATCAACTTTTACAAGATCTGAAGACCTAAATTTCAGAGCACTCTCAGTTCTGAAACTGTAGACGTTCAGTTCCTTTCCATATAAGCCCTTGAGCGTCTGTAACCCATTTGGGCAAGTATTAGCACAGATAACATCATCCTTGATCAATGCCATAAAATGGCATGGTGCTTTTCATTAGGTAATCTGTTGTAAAGATATTATAGGCCCCTGGGCTGAAAGAGCCAAGCAGTCTGTACACCTCATGAAAAGCAATGCAATAATATACAAATACAGGGCACAAGCACACTGGAGGAAAGAGGAGGAAGCTGGAATGCTACTAGACAGACAGTCTTCAGCAATGTGTGTGTCTTGTCATTACCAAACAAACTCCCCACTTACTGTGAAATTCCAGAGTCCTCCAATGTCATCACTTCTCTCAAAGCAGATGGGATCAAGTCCTTCCTCCAGGCAACACTTAAGGGATGCCAGTCCACTGACACCAGCTCCAATAATTGCCACTTTTTTTAACATGGTCTCCTGTATTGGGGGTGGGGGTGGGGGGGAGAAACATATATGATCAACATATGGAATAGGAAAGAATCAGACACACTATCAGCAGAATGGCTAAGAGCTCTGTTGGGAAAAGTCAGGGCACCTTTCTGGACAGGTATATTGCACACGCACTCTCTCTCTCTCTAAGTAGTTGTAGCTTGTTCTGATTATTACTAATGCTCAGTAAAACAGATTCAGGTCCAATAAGCTAAAGAAATGGGACTGATAGCCAAGACCTGCAGGAGAGTTTTGCTTTTCTCAGCTATTCTTCCTATTTCTCTGGCTCAGGTCAGCAGCTTTCCTTACATTTTCTTCCTCGAAGCCCCTTCCTCCTTCCTCCACTTACATGCATTTCTTTTCTTCTCCAAGCAGCTCCCTGAGTTTCAGGCAGGCAGGACTAAGGCTGTTCCTGATATCTGTTAGTCTTTGAGGCAAGAAATTGAATGGAGGGAGGAGCTTATCTTAAATGGCAAATCCCCTTTAGGGACTTGTTAGACAGTAATTTTTGGGTAGCTCCTGGAGCTCTTAACCCCTGAATTATCCATACATTACACCACTTTAAAGTGGTTTTAAGCACTCTTTATGTGGCTCAAAGTTAAGACACTCCAGGGCAGGATTATCTCTGATCCACACTACCCAGCTCTTGTTCTATTAAAGTGTGGCTACTTCCCACAGTTGTGCCACTAGCTGTGTAACAGCATCCAGACCATTTCACAACCACTGGTAAGCAGTCTCTCTAATTGTTAAGGAAACATTCTCTTGTGGAGTTCTTGATGGTCCTACATTTGAGTAACCAGCAGGAGACACCTGGATGCAAATTAAAATGACTGGAGGACACCCAAGTTTCCCCAAATTGCCACTTCTTAGCGGTGGGGTCAAACTTTTCCCCCCTTCCCATGAAGAACTGTGTCACAAGGAGAGGCAAACCGGGGAAACTCCCAAGCCCAAGAGGGGAACCCTAGGGCCAGCAGCGGGGGGAGGAGCAAGAAAAATGAAGGCAAAAAAAGAAAAATTACTTACAGCAGGACTCGACGAAAAACAAGGACAATGGGGGAAGCTTGCGCGGATTATTAGCTGCGCCTTTATTCAGCTGCGGCCGATGAATGACGTCAGCCCCAATCACCGGCTGGTGGAAATAAGAGAGCTGGCAGTGAGAGAGGAAGGGGGCACGTGGACGCCAAGGGAGAGCCCGACCAGTGGAGTCAGCTGGGGGCGTGGGACGCCGGGAGAATTGACGGTCACCAGCTGCGGAGGAGCAGACGACCCAGGCAGCGAGCCAGTGCCCGGAATAGGAGTCCCAGCGACAGGCAAGGCAGGAGGCGAGTCGGTAAGAGGGATCAAGGTGCGGGGAGAAGAACGGCACTGGGAAGACCCAGAGAGAGGGCGGCTGCGCTGGGAAGACCCAGAGAGAGGGCGGCTGCGCTGGGAAGACCCAGAGAGAGGGCAGATGCATCTCGAAGACCCAGAGAGAGGGCAACTACACTGGAGGTCTCAGAGAGGGGTCAGCAATATTGAGAGGACCCAGAGAGAGGGTCACAATAGCGGGAAGTTGGAGGGAGAACGGCTCTAACCTGGGCAGGGGGGGAGCTGAGCCACGAAGCTAGGGCACCTTGAGGAGGCCCCGTGGGCGAATTGATGTGTGGAAGGGCTATCTGTGTTCTGCAAGGAAGCCCAGAAGTGTGGTGATTTTCTTAGGATTCGTTAAGTCTTTTTCTTTGACTAGAGAAGGGTATTTTATGTTTCCTTGTGTCGGAAGGGGCTGAGGTCGAGTGGAAACAGGAAAAGTGGGAAGGCTAGCGGAGGGCTCGTTGTTTGGGGAGTGATCGTGGAGCACGAGGTTGGCCACAAAAGCGACCAGGATCTGCCGGGCTGGGTATAGGGTGAGGTATAGGGGAGGTGGAGCCTCACGGAAGACCCCAAAGGAGCAGGTGTCTAAAGAGGGCAACCGTGCTGCACGAAGCCCCCCACTGTAAGAGATTCAAAGTCGTGGCAGGTTAGAAAGGGGCAGCTTGCAGCACGTGTAAAGACCTCCTGTAAGACCACCTGCAACGGCAAAGAAAGTCCCGTTGAACGCTCGAACTAAGGAAGCCCGGAACAAGATGTTCGAGGCCTAGCGGGTGCAAACTGTATTCGAGCTTTTCCTATGCTGTCATGAGAAAAGCCTTGGGATATGCAGGTTGCCTTTGGGTAATACTTTTACCTTCTGTAAGCAGATTTATCCTCTTGAAGTCTTCTTCCTGACTGCACTTCTGCATATCTGCTTGACTTTCTTTTTCCATCTGGTTTCTATCTGGCCCGAGAAAATGTTTTTCTACTTTTTAAATGTCCTATGCAATTACCTCTCAGATGTCTAACATTGGTTATTGCCTTTGCTTTCCATAGGTGTAAAACTTGAAAAGCTGGAGGGGGGGAAAAGGAAGGAAAAGAACTTTTTACACATCAGTCCTATTATTTTAGCACTGGCTGATGTTTCTGACCTGGTGTGCATTAGAATTCTGTAGAAGAATCTGAGCAGGATCTATAATGGTTCCCTGTACAGCCTAGAACCCCATTAATTTGTCTGGTACATATACAATCCCCAGCATATACAGAGAATCATAACTGTGATTTATACTAGGGCATTGTGTATAATATTCTCACTTCCATATCATAAATGTTTACTAGGCCTGTGCAAAGTGGCTAGTATTCGCTTTGGATTTGGATTCGGCTGATTTGAGGGATAGCGATTGGATTTGGTGATTTGAATCACTGTCCCGAATTGATTTGGCCAAATCAGCTGGGCAGTGTCTGCCCTGCCCACCTGAGCTCCCGGCACTTGGGGGGGGAAAACAAAGCCCCGACTCAGCAGGTGCTGCCGGGCAGGGGGGAGATCCCTGCTGCCCCCCACTACCCCCTGATCCATTGCCCCAGTCCTCCCCCATGGCTGCCTCACTGGTCCCAGCTCTGGCCTTTTAAGAAAAAAAACAAAACAAAAACCTCTAGACTCACCGTTCCTGCAGGTGGGGGCGGGCGGGGGTGATCCCCGCTGCCCCCTGCTGCACTGGGGGCTCTGCATGAGCCCCCAGAAGCCCCGAGGCTGCTGCAGGAGTGGAGAGTCCCAGGGCTTTTCTTTGGGGTTTTTTTTTTCCCTTGAAGGGCCAGAGCTGTGTCAGGCAGGGCAGCCATGGCGGGGCTGGGGGAGCAGAGGTCAGGGGGCTCATGCAGAGCCTCCCAGACAGTGTGGGACAGTGGGGATCACCCCCCTACCCGGCAGCACCCAGTGAGCACCAGGGTTTTTCTTGAAAGGGCCGGGAACTATGGGGGGTGGGGAACCTGTGGGGGGCTGGGGGAGCAGGCAGGGGATGGGGGCTCCCGCCACAGTCCCCTCCCCCCTTCCCCAGCCCACCCTCCTACACCCCTAGTACTTACCAGCTCAGAGTTGGCTGCAGCAGGGAGCTGCTCGAATCACCAAAGCTGCACTGGGGACTGCTCGGAACATCAAAGCTCTTCGAATCTTTTCCAAAGATTCGGAGAGTTTTGAATCAATTTGGACCTTTTAATTGGTCTCCTGATTATTCAGATTTGGAGATGCAGCCACCAAATTGGGTCAGATCTCCTCTGAATTGAATCACCACCTGAAGCTTTGCACAGCCCTAATGTTTTTCCTTATTCCACAAGGTACCAGAAGAACACAGGAAGGTCATGGTAAGAAAAGTGTGTGGGTAAATGTTTTGCAGTTGGCCAGACAGCAAATTATATACAGAGACCTGCTCCCCTTCCAAACTCCTGAATGGCCACAGGCTAATTCTAGGTTTGCCCCTGTCACCCCCCTCCCAAAAAATAAAGCTTCTCATGTAGCAATTCAATGAGGCAATTGCTGACTTGCAAGGGTTGATGGACGGATTTATTCCTGTTCTAAGTAATGTTTATGAGGAACGTGCTCCGCGTGGAACACATTAAGTAGACAGCATAAAGCACCGCTGGCATGTTAGTTCTAAGGGGGAAGGTAGCCACT